CAGCTGGGATGTGGAAATCCCTGAGGAGCCTGGCAGGAACAGTCCCTGGGAGCTCTGACTCCAGCAGGCACTGAAGGCCTGGCTGGGCTTGTTCCTCTTCCACTGAACCTGCTCCAGCCACACATTTCAGCCCATTGCTCCAACTACCACCTGCAGCCACGTGTTATCAGTGGTGAAGCCAGGAGAACCAGTGTGATGTCTCTGTGGCGTTTCCCCCCCACTCCAACCCCCTCAGTGCCTGATGACCCCTCCCCTCCTGTGGTCCCTGAGGCCACCGCTACCCCCAGGCCGTGGTCAGCCAAGGACCCACCATCCAGGGGCTTCCCAAGGAGCCCTTGGCATTGTCTCCTCTCCCTCTTACTTCCTCTCTGCCCAAATGGATTTGGATGAGACAAGACCTCCCCAAACACACACAACACCCCTGCCAGAGCACAAACACACCAGAGAGCACTGGGTTTCCACAACAGCTTTCTGCGATTTGGCCAGACTGGTAAAACGCTAATTAAAACCCAATGTTTAAATGCAGCTCCATCAGGAGAACTGCAAAACGCCTCCGCAAGGATCTGTGTCAGGACTCCTCAAACCTGGCAAAGCACAATTAGACACAGTCAAATATTGCCCTGGTTAAAGACTATTAATTTTCCTTACATTTGTCATGAATTAATTTTTTCTGGCTGTATCAACAGTGTTTCCTTTATAAATACAACTGGCTCCTTTACATTGAAAAATTGAATTTGCTCTGATAATGAACTGAGGTGCTAATAATCATTTTGCAATGCAAAAAAAGTGCAATTACTGGCTGCTGGGCCATGTGGTGCTGACCCTGCTCTGTCACTGCTGCCCATCCAGGAGGCTCAGGTGGGAGAACCCATCCTTGCTGGTCCCTCCTTTGGCTGCCTGGGCATGGAACTGCAAGGAGGGAGCTCAGGTGTCAGTGTCCACCTGTTCATGTGAACTGAACGTCAGGTCTGCTCAATGCCCTTGAGAAGCTGCTCAGTGCCATATGGGGTGGCACAAGGTGTGTGGGTGGTGAGCCTGACCCAAGGAACACTGTCTGCGTGGTCACTGCGCACTGCTGGCGATGGGGATGGTGTGGCTGTGGGCACACACAGGTAAGTGATGTTCCCAGCAGATTCTCCAGGAGTTTGACAGACAGACTGGTATTTTCAGGCAGGCTTTGGGGAAATGAATGCTTGAGGAGCCAGCCCTGTGCCATGTCACCAAGGCTCCCTGCCACAGGAGTGCCCTGGGCACGCACACCTGAAGTCACCGTGCTTCTCTCCTCCGCAGCCTTATGTTGCCTTGGCTGCAGCCCATGATGGCCCCAAAACTCCCTTCACCCCTCTGCACTCCTGGGACTCCTGCTCTCATTACCCAACAAGACTCTGACCTTTGCTCCACCCCGTGTCTCCTCCCTGGCGCCGGAGCTGAGCTGTGCCCCTTTATTTATTCACGACATTTATGTTTCGTCATGCTGCTTCCCCAGTGCACATCAGCTGCGACCTTGAGACACCGTCCTCTCCTGGGATGAGTATGTTTTCCAGTGCCAGGCATCTCTGGAGTGAGGACTGACAGTTCTTTAGAGCAGGGGAAGTAGGGGGGAGGAGTGACAGGCTGAGTACACTGCGGTGCAACAGGATAACGCAGAGCTGGATGGGAGCGACTCGTGTGCCAGTCGTGGTGCCCGGCGCAGGGCTCTAGCACAGCACTGCTCCTCATACCACCTGATGTGGCCAGGGTTGTGCTGCTGGGCAATCCATCGCCCTTTTCTGCCTTATCCTTATCCTCTCCTCCTCACTGACTGCAAACGTATTAGAATCATGGAATCAAGGCTGGAGGAGACCTCTGAGATCATCAAATCTAACCATTAACCTGTCACTGCTGGAACCCCTAAACCCTAAACCACATTCTCCAGTGCCACATCCAGACACCTCTGAAACATCTCCAGGAATGGTGACTCCACCACCTCCCAACATCTCCTCTGACCCTGCCCTGTCTCAGCTCAAGGTCATTCCCTCTAGTGCTTTCAAATGTCTGAGCTGTGTTACTCTTGTGCTGAGCTCTATGGGTCCACCAGGTGCCCAGCAGGAGCTTTACTGTAAGCACTGGGTGGTACTGGTTACTGGTGACAGCCTGACAGTGCCAGGCACAATCTGCTTTGTCCAAAGCAGTGCCAGGCAGAGCCTCAGGCACTGATCTCCTGGTTTACCCAGGTGATTTCCTGTAGCACCAACCAGCCTTGACCATGTCCCTCTTTCCAGTCCATTTGGCTGTCCCCCAAGTTATCCAGTGGGCATTTTACAGCAGATTCCTCAAAGCCTGACACCAGTCAGTACCAGAGCTGGGACCCATCACCTGCTGCAGGATCTTGTTTCTTCTCACACAGCTGCAGCACGGTCGCCCACAGCTGGGTGGAGGATGTCCCTCACCCAGCTTCTCTGCTTCCAAATGTCACTGCTTCATTGTCTTCCCTTCCCATGGTCCTAACAACCTGCTTTCTCCATCTTTGGCTCACTGTCCTGCAGCCAGGAGCAGCAGACATCTGTCACAGCAAAGGCTCTGCAGGGCTGGGTGTGCAAGGCTCAAAGGGATGTCCAGAGGCAGCTCACCACAAACATCTTATGGTGCTGGCAGGATCCAAGTCTGCAGCCAGCCTCCTGTGGGTCTCACCCAAGCACCTGTGTGGATCACTCTGCCTAAACCCCCTGCCACTACCTGCCTGAGGCAAGGCAGGCTCTGCCTACCAGCACAGAACAGCGGCTGATAAACTCTACAATAGGTGAAATGTTTTTGGCTGAAGCCACTGAGTGTAGAGAACAAACTCAGGACTCCTGGCTGGTCCGACTCCTGCCACACTGGCCAGGCACTCCGAGGGAAGAGTCAGGAAGAACTCTGGCTCACTGCACACCTGAGCACCCTCTGGCACTGCACATGGGAGATGTAGAGGCACCTCTCGGTCATGGAAAACTCACTCACATCAAGACAGCTTAGCTGGGCAGATGACCAAACTAATCCATCAGAGGAGCTGGAGTTGGTCTCAATCCCTCACCTTAAACCTTCCTTCCTCTCTGCCAGGTTGGTGCTGGTTTGGCCAAAGGCCTCCAGAGGCTTTTGCTCAAATGCTGAAAAACAAAAGGGGACATAAAACTCAGTGCCTGGGAAAGGAGAGATTTCCATGCTCAGGGCAAAGCTTTGCATGGATGGAGTTCACTTGGGCTAAAACTGATTTTCTTTTCAGTGTCATCAGGAACTTTTCAATCAAGCCATCAGCAAAGTTGAGCAGAAATCATAGTTTCTGTTGCCAAAGACACACAGGGCATTAGGTTCCAAGTACCACACAGGTGTAGCTCTGCCCCAAATGTCTGGGATGGGGTGAGAAGGTCCCCATGACACCTCTGTGTTGACTTTCTGTGTTTGACCTTGCCAAACAAAAACCTGATGAACTTAAGGAGCACCAGCATGGGATAATACATCAGAATGACAGTCCTGAATGTTTTCTGGAGTGCCCACTCCCCTTTCCAGATACCCTTTCAGGTTACACACAGCTTCTGATTTTAACACAGACCGCAGCATGAGAGGACCTGCACCTTAGTGACATGGGGCTGTGAATTCCCACTGTCGCCAAAAGGAATGGTGCTGCACAGAGCAGCTCACAGAGCAACAGGGAACAGACAATTTCCTTTTCAAAACAGCAGAGTATAAACACATCCCTTTTTCCCTTTTTCTCTTGCCAGAGGTGTAGTTTCAGCTCAGGAAAGGGAAGACGGCACTTTGCAGTGATGCTTGGGATGCAGGAAATGAGGAACAAACCCACCTTTGTCATATTGCTTGTGTCAGATTTTATTTGGGTTAGCCCTTTGCTGAAGCATTTAATCCTTACAAACCTTAAAACAACACACTGAACTCCAGTGTACAAAAATAACTGTATTAAAAAAACCACTATTACTTTTAGCACAGTATGACTAGAATCAAGTCTGTTCTTCATACTCTGCTCTCTCCTCTCCAGGAACAGCTTCAAAGGAACAAGAACTGGTCAAGTGCGAGATGTGAGCTCTGCCCCATGCCCAGCTGACAAGGGCAGTGATGGAGCTCAGGGGAGCCCCAGAGCTGAGCACTGAGGGCAGTGGGCCTGTGGCACCGTGCCGGACTTTGAGGAGAGCAACTGCTGCATCCCAGAGCACGAGGCAGTGACCTGGCTGTCCCTCTCGAGAGGGAGGGTACTGCAAAGTGCCCCTCTGTGTCCTAGAGAGGACAAATGGCCAGGGGGATGTGTTTTGCACCTGCACTTCCGCTCTCCACCCCAACCCCTCCTGGTGCGTCTCCCTGGCGTCGGCTCCACAGCAGTGGATCCTGCTCCGACCGCAGAGCCACATCTCACCAGTGAAGAAACAAACCCTGCCAAACCCAGTGTGCCCCCAATATCCCCAAAAACATAAACATATAGCTTGTTCCAGGAGCTCCCCAGGCAGGAGCTTCCCAGGCAGGAGCACTGGTCCTGCTGGCACAGGACAGCTCACACCCCTGATATCCCCAAAGAAAATGAACTTACAGCCTATCCTGGGAGCATCCCAGGCAAGAGCACTGGTCCTGCTGGCACAGGGACAGCCCATAGCCCTGATATCCCCAAAGCAAAGACAATAAACATAGAGCCTATCTCAGGAGCTCCCCAGGCAGGAGCAGCCCAGGCAAGAGCACTGGTCCTGCTGGCCCTGGGGACAGCTCACACCACTGATACCCCAGGGAAAACGAACATACATCCTATCCCAGGAGCTCTCCGGGCAGGAGTTCCCCAGGCAGGAGCACTGGTCCCGCTGGCACGGAAATAGGTGGAGCAGCCCCCATGGCTGCAGGGAGGATGGGTGTGAGGTGGTGTCTGGCACATCTGGGGTCAGGGACGGACTCAGATTTACGTGATAAGAGAAGGACAGGAATAAAGAGGAGGCAGAACCAAAGCCAGCAAGTGCCAGTGCTACCTGCCAACCTCGCCATCACCAGGACTTCTGTCTGGACTTCTTCCTCCGCTGCTTTATGAGGAACAGATTGTCCCTGTGGTCAGGACTGGTGTCCCTCTGCTT